TTGATTCAGAGGTGACCCCAACATGATGGTGAACCTTCATGGCCTGCAAAGCACTAGGTGCAGAGCTGGCTAGAAAAGACAACTCACAGACTGAGGCAGGACAGAGGGGTTTTGTTTGTAACCCACAGCGGCTATCTCCAAAGTGGGGTCCTCGAGCTTTAGCTGGGGCGGTCGTCAGTGTCGGGTGGTTGATAGTCCATGCTCTGCCCCAGGGTCTGACTCTAGGTCTGGGCTGAGCCTGAGGATCTAACAAGTGCCAGGTGGTGTTGACTACAGGGATACAGGCACGGCTCGGGTAAGGATGACTTCGCTTGTTTCATGGAGGACTTCCGTGTGAACGGAAAAGAGGGCTAAGCTCTGTAGAAATACCCTGTGTGCTTATGAGACTCTTTCAGGGGCATGGACATCACCTGGATAGCCTCGTTATGGGAATTTGTTTCAACTAGCTGTAGGTGGGCTGCACCTTACAGGTGGGGCTTGTGTTGCTGAGTACAGTAACTGGGGAGGTAACTGGGCAAAAGTATTCAGTTGTTCCCTGATGATGGTGAAGTTCCAAGGTTCCCATCCCTCTCAGTCACCTATCCTGCTCATCAAAGGATTCAATGACTTCAACTCCATGAGAACCAAGGTGTCTTCTTTTAAAAAAAAGAAAAGGAAAGAAAAAAACCCTAAAAATGATCTCATTTAACAACAGGTTTGAAACCATGTACCAAAATACACTCCCTACAGAAAGATAACAGAAAAACTGGTCTGTGTCAGTGTGATGGCTTTTGCTCTGTTATATAAAAATGCTTGGGTATTAAGCCACCGTGGAAGAGTTCACTCTTTGATTTCCAAATTGAAAGTAGTGTCATCCACAATAGTATGCACTTCCATGGAGGAGAGGGAACTCTTTTAGACTGTCAAAGACTCGAAGAGAAAAAGAGAAGGAAGATAGAAACTGGGCAGATAGTCAGGGTCAATGAAATCAATAAAGGAACATTTTCATCCAGAGAAGGAAGGAGGTAGGGGAGAGGAGGCTTGTGGGTAGGCCACTCACTCATAGTTGGCTGTAAATTATACATTGGGGCTACAGTAACCTCACAGTTAGTGACTAGGTCAGTGAAAGACTGGCTCATAGATGCCACGGGAGAAGCTTCAAGGATTATGAAGTGAGAAATCACAGCTACCAAATTCTACCCTGGTCCTGCTAGGTGTGGATGGAGGCTGAGGAGGGTACCCAGGTTTCCTAAGCACATTTAAGGAGCTGTAGTAAGAACTGGAGTCTGGGGTGGGGGTGGGGGGGTGGGGATGTGGGGTGCGGGTGGAGGATGGGGGGAGGGCTATCATGCAGTCACCTCCATGGGTGGCGGAAGTAGAGATGGCAAGTAAACCTGAGCTTCAGGCTAAGCTGTGCCAGCATTACCTACAGAACTTGCTTTAGTGGTACTGGGCCCACCTCACGTTCCGCCTCCTGTAGACCTGATGTGGAGGTGGAGAAGTTTCATTTCTAACATTCCTGTGATTGAGGTTGGTTAGGAAACAATGTCTCTTGTGTCAATTAGCGTTTAAGATAATCAACTTAAAACATGAAAACTTATTTGGGCTCAAAGTTTAGTCTGTCGTCCTCTGGCAATGGGTTTGCTTAGAGCCTGTTGAGGGGTAGGAAGCCAGTGGCGGGCAAAGCTTCTCTCTTCATGGCAGAGGGGATACAGAAGGAGGAAGACAAGAAGGGCTGGGATTTCTACCATCCTCCTTGAAGACACACCCCAGATGACAGAAGACCTTCTGCTGGCCCTGCTCCTTAAAGTTTCTCCATCACCAACAGTACTAAGTTGGACCAAGCCCCAAACACCCCAGCTACTGGGGGACTTGTAGATTCAAACCATAGCACTTTGTAAATTTCCTGTTTAGATCAGGTTTTTTTCAACTTTGGCACTACTTGCTATTTGAGGCCTGATAATCTGTTACTATCTAGAACTGTCCTGTGCTTTACAGGATATCAACAGAGACAAGGTTTCTATCCATTAGATACCAGTAGCCTTCAAAGATGTGATAACCAAAAACTGTCCTCCAGCATCTTTGAATGCCCCTTGAGGGTCAGTACCACTCACGGCTTTAGGCTAATATAATGCAAGGGGGAAACCTGAAAGACACTGCAGGGGTGTGATCTACATGTGAGAAACAGTGAACCATAGCATAGGCTCAAACATAGTTTTTCAGAAAAAAGTACTATTAATATGACTTAGTGTTTTATTATTGTACGTCTTGCAACCATGACCTTCAGCCTATCCAACACTGAACACTAATGATAATAACCTGGAAAAGCATTAGAAATAGAGAATCTTGAGCCTCATCTCTGCCAAGCTGAACTGTGAGTTTAAATATACCTGCAGGGGATTCCCAGGCTCAAAGCGCCAAGAAGGTCCCCTCAGTCTCAGAACCCTCAATACATATTTCAGATTGCCAATTCTGCTTTTGTGATTTTGAAAAATGCCCCTTCCCATCTCTAGCCTGAAACAGCTCATGGGAAATTCTGCTCAGCACTGGTCCTCAGGACCACACACGTTGCTCAAATATCTGCTACCACTACACCCCATCTCCTTCAGATCTGCTTCCCCCAGCCTCTGGGGACTCAGCCAAGCTTCACCTGGATTGTCTCAGATCTTGAAGGAATTAGAAGGAATCCCTGAGGTAGGAAAGTGGACTTGAATCGGAAGATTTGGGTCCTCAGCAGCTATAGAGTTCTCTGAGCTGGGGGAAGAAAGAAAACACTCAGCATTGCTGGAACGTGGTCCAAGAGTGAAGTTGTACAAGGAGAATTCTAAGTGCTTGTGAGAAAACCCTGAGAAAACAAGTCTTGTGACCTCAGTCTCTTCAAAACATGAAATTGTTCTTGGAGCGTGTTTTTTGTGTTCTTCCCAGGTGTGCCAGATAGTGTTTACGTCAGATTACTCATTAGTGCTTGCTGTTGTTACTCAATTAAATGTTTAAAGTATCCTTCCTATGGCTCTATGGAAAAACATGTTTTTGCCATGTGCAGCTTGTCATTGTGATTGCATACACCTTGAACTCATGAGAACGTTACTCATGTGATTTCTCTAGAGCAGCGATACATGTGTTCTCCCTAATTCTGTGCAAAGACTTTTATTCCTGTATGTTTTCATCTTGTTCTTTTTACAGTTGTTTTTCTTTCTGCCAGAAAGTGACTGGGGAATGAAATTAACAAGATCACTAATAAAAGGTTTATGTAATGCATAATATATACCTAAGTATTTACTTATAGCCTATCTTGGCATATAAAGCAATGTTTTCAGTAAATTACAAAATGTAACAGATTTACTGAGGCAAGCATGGGTACCAGTGGCCAGATCTCTCTCCTGTCTGGGCATGTGATGAATGGGCTTCATATTTTTAACCCAGAAATTTTAGTGATACCTGTGTTCACATACTTCCAGGTGGGAAAGAAGATTACAGCATGGCTTTGAAACAGCAGTGTGTCACCTCGGGAGCCCAGTCACAAAAATCAGAAGTCAAAAAAAAAAAAGCAAGGAAGAGACAAGTAGCAGTATTAACAGTGTTTTTATTTACAAAGATTGCTTTTATTTGTCCATTTTGAAAACCACAAACATTTTTCACTTTAGAAAACATTAAATAATAAACAAGGTGTTATACAGTACTTTGGATAACTTCCTCCATCAGTGTAGTGCAATGTCTTATTGGCACCTAAGAGTGAATTTGCAATTACTTTCCCCTGTCTTCTTCAGCTGTGCAGTTACAGGTAGTGAATCATGAAAATCTGGATCTAAGAACATCTTAGGTGTTCTTCTACTTCAGAAGCCTCTGCATCTGTTGAGCTAAATGGCAAAGTCACTTGGACCTGTTCAAAAACCATTCATTACCAGCTTGTGGAACTTGGAAGGCTCCTAGTGAGAAAGTGAGCCATGGGAGGTGAGGGCGAGGGCTAACGGGGCTGTGGTTGACACACCTTCAGTAGTCATGTTAACTTGTCAACGCAAACCAGAGGCAAGGCACCAGACAAAACCTCTCTGCCTCATGTTTCTTGGGGGTCTCTTTGAAAAACAAGTCTAAGCATCTACTGAACAAACCATGGGGTCACACATCCTTACTCAGGAATGAAACATTAACACCGCCATATTAGGACACTGTTAAGATACAATAGCACCTGTGTGACACAACCTCTTCAAGAATAAATAATTTGGGGATTTGTTCTTCCAATACTGCTGGGTTTGCTGTTGAGTGTGCCCTTTCCAGGAGGAGGTTAAGAGTAGAAAGCCTAGCTCAGAACTCAGCCCAGATTGCTCAGTTTAGTTCTGAAGATTGTCATTATCATGGATTACTGTGAAGACCAATGTGTCTTCTAGATTCCGCAGTCTAGATTCCACCATGAAGTAACTGTACCTTAAATATGTAAAATTTTATGTGTGTGTGTGTGTTTTTAATGGAGGGAAGGGAGAGAGAAGATAGAGAGGAGAACAGAACAGAAAGGGGGAGAGAGATGAAGGTAGAAGTAAAGGGAGGGAGGGAGGGAGGGAGGGAGGAGGAGAGGGAGGAGGAGGAAGAGGAGGAGGAGGAGGAGGAGGAGGAGGAGGAGGAGGAGGAGGAGGAGGGAGACAGAGACACAGAGAAAGAGAGAGACAGAGAGAATATAAATACGATCACACTTCTTTTTTGTAAAGGACTGGGCTTAGCAACTGTCCCTGCCAGGAAATGCCACCTCACACTCTAGCCTAAGCCTGTTTCCTCTGGTTCTATTCTCAGTACACATGGAGAACAGGTGTTCCCCAAGTTCTTGGTGCCAACCCTTCGCAGCCTGGAAGAGCCCCCACGATCTGCCCCTCAGTCTTCTCTTCTCCAGGCGGAACATTCCCAGTTCCTTTAGCTTTTCACCATAGATCTGTTTTTCCAACCCTTTAATCATCTTTGTGTCTCCTGGCAAAAACAGCAGAAAATATTTTGATTACTTAATCAGAAGGGAGAGAAATGTAAGGAGAACGTTGACTCTTTAAAGTTGTGTGTCTTTAATACAGAGGTCTGACAGGGAGGAGACGCAGTTGGGGCTCTGTGGATATTAAAATTCCAATCTCATCCTCCTCTACTGCACGGGTGTCGGTCCATCATGGTGAGTGTCGCCTCAGTGCACAAGCCTGCTTCCCAGCCCAGCCTCAGGTAACATGTAAGCTGTGAGCTTTGCTCATGGAAACCTTGCCAATTTAAAGCTCATTATAAATGCCTGTCTTATGAGCCTTCTTCTAGTCTCCACTCGCCACACCCAGAATCTTTACAAAGCTTCTTACCGATGGAGGTGTGTAACAATAGTGAAAGCTGTTGGTTTAAAGTATAACTGAAAATGGGGGTTTTATATATTAACTGCTGGTCCTCTCTTCCCTTTAATGGTTTACTTTCCTCTATATAGATTAAACTCAAGGACACAGAAATAAAGTCATCATTCCACTACCCCAAGGGGCACACCTCTGCCAGTTTTCTTGCTTCTGGTTTAAGGTTATACATAGCATAGATGACAGGTCACCATGTAATTTTTGTACTCAGGGGATCATAAGCTGCCTTTGACCTTGCAACTAGAGTCTGTGGATATTAGGAACATGTAAATACTTATATTAATAGCACATTTACACAATCACAGTACTACTAACAAGAAATTCCATGCCTACCCTATATAACTGTCTTTAACAGAAAGACACAGTTTACAAGAATAAATGCATGTTAATATGTTGCACACCGTTCCGTTATAAAGTGTATGGCAGTAGAAGTCAGAGTTGAGGTCAGGCCAGAAGTAACTGAAGTGAAAAGGATACACTAGTTTCACAAGCACGCTGTACATCATCCTGTAAGCAAAGTCAATACTACTCATGGTACAACACTGGACACAGAATACCATTTGCACAGAATGAAAACATCTCCCGAAATTGGCTAGCAGGCCCACTCTATAACCAGGATAAAGGATGGCACAGGTCACACATGCCAAAGGCCTTCCTAAAGAAGATACAGGTAGAAGGTTCCACCCCAGAGGGGCCCAGAGGTGTCTCCAGATGCTCCTGTACTTCGAGAGTGTCACTGTTCACTGGGATTGCACAAAAACAGGCCACCAAGACCTGAGTCACCAAGCAGCCTTCTCCTGACCCACTCTTGCTTTAGGCCTGATTAAGAAGGAGATGAGAAGGAAAGCATTGGAAAAAACGAGGGAGAGCGACAAAGTCACTGCTAGCTCGGGAGCTGCCAGTGTTCTTCTCAGCAGTGACCTCTTTTCAAGCTCACATCATCCAATCCAATCTCCCCCGTGTGACCACGCCTTTTTTCACCTTTGAAGATGACCTAAGGAGAGAACGCATACACTGGTCAGGCCTCCTCTGCCCCTTTCCCAGTGCTCACTCATGGAGCATGATAAGGCAACCTTTCCCCCAAACTGAAGATCAGATTTCTATGGCAAACCGAAACACTAGAGCACAAGGGCCAGCCTCATCCCAGGCCCCTTGTCTTTCAGTATGCCCTCTGACTGATTATCAACTGTTCATCAGACAAAAGGACCCCGAATCAGTTCCTCTTCAAACTGACATTCTCACTACATGCTAGTTTACTGCAGGAATGCTGGTAAAGTGGACGACGGTCAAAGATTACCAAGGTTCAGAAGGAAAAAGAGTGGAGAAAGTAGAGAAAGTAGGGGCTAAAGAGCTACAAGATGCAGGTCTCACAGCCTGGCTTGGTTTTCTTTTGAGAATATCCCCTCACCACCCACAGTGTGACAGAGTGTACGCCATAATGGAAGAAGACTGGTGCTTTGGCTGTGTAACCTCTAGCTTCTGCAGATCTTACTGTCCCATATTTTACCCTCTGTAGGATATCCCTGCTCCCTTAAAACTGGACAAATCCTTCAATACTATGACTTGAAGCAATGCATTTTTAAGGAAACAAAGGCAAAAGGTACACAGACATCTAATAGCTCCCTCTGAAAGCTGTGATGGGGTCTGTGGTGCTAATGTGGTCTCAAGAAACTCTGTAAGAATGACGTAGAGACTGCAGGGCAAAGTGCATAAGCATCTACATCAAGATGACGATTTCTGAAAGTCACCCATTGTATTTGGTGGGATGTGACATGTCTTTTTCTCACTACCCAGGGCTTGATTATTGAAAATAAAATTTGAAACAATTTTATATCCTCACTCAATGCTTACACCATAACCCCTCCCCTCCCCCCCAACACTGTTCAACCCTGGGTCTGGGCTCCAACCTGGAGCTGTTTAACTCTTATCTGTGGGCCAGAGGGGAAAACGAATTTCAAAGAAACTCTTAAAAATAGAAAGCAGAGCTACCTCTGCCACAGAGGTTATCCTAGCAAAAGTTGGAAGGTTAAGGAATTGAAGGTAGAGAAAAAAGCATGCCCGTTAATCACAGCATTCGAGACCCTGGATGTGTTTATTAACTCCTTTTTTTTTTTTCTTAAATTTTCTGTGACTAACTTTCTCTCACTGAAAACAGTTGGTCATCATGATTGAGTGAGGGTGTGGTGGTCAAGTTTGCAACGAAGAAGGATGAAGAAGCAGAAAAGAATTTCAGGAAGAGTCGATGGATGGAACCCTCCAGGAAAAGCCACAAAACATGGGACCTGAATTATACTGAGGAAGGCTTCTTGCCATGCTCTCCTATGAAAGCAGAGCTTCTGTTTGGGGATCTACTTACGCTTTTGATGTCAGCCCCTCGCAAGGTGATCTGGGTTTGCCTCCAGCCATGGCCACCATTTCTTCCCCACAGGGCTGCTCCGTGGGTACCATGTTTTCTCACAAACACCTGCAGTGTGCCCGAGTGCAGCCCAGTCACCTTGTGCCTAAAGGACAGGCACAGGTCCCCTGAATGCATGAGGTGGCCGAGAGGTAACACCAAGCGAGCGGCTTTTCCCCCCGGGGCTTTGGCTGCAGACACTGTGAGATACTGTCCACCTGGAATGGGAAAGCAGGGCCTCTTTCTAGCACAAACTGCATGCACAGGAGATTTTTAATAACTTCACACTGTAACATTCACTGATAAAGAATCCCAGATCTTTATGAAGAAAAACATAGCTTATTTCTATGCCTGTTGTAAGTGCTATGGTGTTCACAAATAACACCCAGAATACTTTGCCCAGAGAGAACACAGACAACAAATTATGATTTCATGATTAGTACCCGACACTGGCTGTTTCCTTGGCATAGGGTGAGCCATCCTAGGCATATACATTCACTACCTTCTGATCCTCACCAACTCTGTGCCGTTGGGCACCCCACAGCGGATTAGTAGAAATGACCCAAAATTTCCCTGATAAAATTTATTTGTAGATAAGTAATCTTGGGGCAATAAAACACACAGCATTATATTTTCTTTTTTTTCTGCTTTTTTCCATTTAAAAACAGTTCTAAAATACAAAAGGATGACTTAAAAATGGTTTGCTATTCTCACACAGGGGCACAGCTAACCCTAGAAAGCACACAAGTAGCCTGGAGAAATTCTCTGAACCTTCCTGGGGTATCAATTTTATTGGAGGTTATAACTTAAAAGATATATATATATATATATATATATATATATATATATATATATATATAACTGTATATCTCTGTCTATGTGTCTGAATGTCTATCTGTCTTATATATCTAAGAGAATATAAAAACTTAATAAAAGCCCTCCACTTTTGACAAGTCACCTTGGCCAACCTCAGACCCCAGTATCTATAGATTTCTCATCTCTCTTTTGTTAGAGAAGTACAATTAAAAAATGGTTAAGCACCAGTAAAGTGGGGGCTGCTGCTTTGCGAAAGAAAGTTATGAGTGTTTCGAAAGTCAGTGCTTGTACAGATGACAATGCCTTCAGGCGGTTTTTGTCACAGGCGATTGAGAGTTGCAACACTGATGTGTGCCCATGAAGAATGCAGTTGGAATGCTGAGCACACGTTATCTGCTGTGGGAGAAACCTCACTTCCTTTTCAGTTCAAAGACAGACCATCAGCATCACCTTACGCCTCATTTCTACAAGACTTGGCCTTATTATTCTTATTCAAGTGTCTTCTTATTCAAGTGTGTTTCTCTCTACCAAGTTCCTGTTGGCATTCTCCAAGGTAACAAAGGACTTTGAGTAACTGTGATGGACCCTTGTTCTGAGCTACGTGCTCCCTGCAGACTTGCAAAAGCTGAAGTCAGTCAGTCCCATCCATACCTCAAACCTCCCCACCAGCATCCTAGGACAGAGTGAGGAAAGCTAAAGTTATTTGTTGGATAAATGGCCCATGTTCCAAAAATACAGCAACAAAATGCCAGAAATTTGCTGACTCACGTACTCGAGTCAATAAACACACAAAATGTTGGCTTCCTCCTTCCTTATTTTGGCTCCCTTTCCTCACATATTGACACCCCCAATATACTGGGACAAAAAATTTATGTGCATTTTAAGTGTCTAAGTCTGCTTTTGTGGTTAAGACTAAGGTAAGATTATTAAGGTGAAGCTGCAAGGCTTAAGAAAGCAGGGATTATCTTAAGCTCTATGGAATGTATGCTAATACCATTTTCCAGACACTGCATGCAAACAGCACACCTAAGAAACCAAGGTGCCCAAGATTCCAGCAACCCTTTTCTACACATTCAAAACTCTAACATTGTAACAGACATGAATAAAATTGCTTTACTTCTCCCTCCAGACAGCGGTGCTGACTTGGGTTTAATTTCTCTTTAATTTTGTTCACTGGGTGACTAATTGTTGGGAGGATCGGGAATGTCCGCATGCCATAGCACGCACGTAGAGGTCAGAGGTGTATGGTCGGAACTCCCCAGCATACTCCAAGGACCGCTTCTGAAGGGCGTATTGACACAAGCTGCACACTTGCTCTATCCTACAACTCTCTGCCATATTTTGGTCTTTCCATCCTTTTATCCAATCTAAAAATTTGTTTGACAATTCCCTTAGGGTTACAGGGGACATTTTCTGCATGACCACAGACCTTCACAGCTGGATTGAGAGGTCATCTCACCTCAGGTGAAGCTTTAATCTGTTAACATCTTACCAGAGGCCACCCCACCAAATATCTCCAGCAGAAGGCTCTTCTCACACCAGCCTGTTCTTTCTAGGAGCTCTACTGGAAGTTCTTTTTGAGAGTTTAAATCTATCTACGTTGTTTTCTGGCATAGGTCCTACTTCTTATGCCCGTTTGAATCACAAAGAACAACTGGTCAACCTTGGGTCAATTGTTTGAAAACAGTGCATTCTATTACTTCTTCTCCAGGTTAAACATTCTGGCCTTTACCCACTTTTCACAGGTAAAGGAAGATACACCTCACCATCCAGGTTATTCTCTTCTGAATGATGTGCAACTATGACTCAGATGTGAAAGGATCCCCAGAAATTGACCAATCACGTCAGCATAGCAGATTTTACATTGTAGACAAGGACCATATCTATAGACATAGTCTACCTTTTTGAAACAACTGTCATGTGATTCACCCATAATGACTTCCTTACATCCTAAACTCTTAAGTCCTTCACATTTCGGGCTTGCTTGCATCTTTCCACAGTTGTGGTGGTTAGTTTCTAGAGCTTGAGACAAACTTACCATAAGGGTTTATTGCTGTGTATAGCCCATTAACCTAATTTCATGCGTAACAGTTCTGTTAACACACACAATCAGTTTCTCTCCACTCTGGGTCACAATTAGGTCAAGTTTTCTTCAGTATTTAAATTCCATATCCACTTAATCCAAGTGTTTTTGTTTGTTTGTTTGTTTGTTTTAAATAAAAACTAGAAAAACAGGCTCTAGGAGGCAGATCTCTGTTCAGGTATTGCCCAGCTAAGCTGCTGCCACGGCCTTTCCATTTGCTGTGCTCTAACACAGTTCAATGACCACGTAAGATATTCTCCCTATCATTCCATGTTTCATCTATCTCCTACTAGAGGGCAAGAAGAATTCAACCCACAACCTGAAACGTCTGCAAATATGGTGACAATGGAAGGTGCTGAAAAGTAGCACATGATTCTAAAAAATCAATTTAGTTTGTTTTACAAGGACTATTACAAACAGCCTGTTTCTACAAAACCATTGAATTCTTTTAAACTTAGCGTGAATGCATGTGCCTTCATGCTGTATCTTACTCTTCATGGTGTACCTTACTCAAAAGAGTTGTTCACTATAGCAATGAACATTACTGACAAGTTCTCCACCCAATCCTGTGGAAGATCTTTCTGTTGCATATCACCACAGGTAGGCAGTCCTACTCAGTCCGTCTTAGAGGCCAGATGTACTGACCATATCAGGTACAGGCCCACAGGAGCTACTGTTCCAGGTACTGAGCTGACTCTACCATGTACTACATTTCTTTACTCTAGCTTTGTGGCCTGAGGAGGCTTACATTTGCCTCAGGCGATCAATGCTTCTCTTGTGAGATAATTGGATGGGGATGAGGATTCAATAAAATTAGTGAGGTAAAGACTGTGCTGGTATTATAGCAGATATTAACATCCGTTGAGTCTTTGTTATTTACAGACACTGTGACAGTAACATTATGCTTGGAGTTTACCCTACACAAGTGTGAGTAACTCAAGACATAGGGACGAGTACAATTAAATTATATGTGATATAACATCACTTTTTATAACAAAAACAGATCAGTGTGTGTGTGTGTGTGTGTGTGTGTGTGTGTGTGTGTGTGTTTTGACACAAGTTCTTCTGTGTGGCCAGAGCTATTCTGGACCTCACTCTATAAACCAGGCTGGACTTAATCTCAGAGATTCACCTGCTTCTGCCTCCCAAGTGCTGAGATTAAAAGCATGCACTACTGACACCAAGTTACAACAACCAATCTTAAAAACTATAATAATTTATTGGATATTTGCATCTTAACAGTTTACGTCAAATATTTATTCTTAAATATCTTTCAATTTTAATTCAATATTCTTTCCATTATATTTAATTCAATTTTAGAAGCTTTAATGAAAGTACTCTAGACTGATTATTTGAAGCCTTGTTGCAAAGACTGTACACAACAGAAGGACATTCTGAGCACTATTGGGACCCTTGGGGAACCAACTACCATCCCTCAGATGTGTGTGCCACAAAGCCCCTCTCACTTGCACCACTGTTAGAGTAGACTGAAGTGCTCACACACTAGCTTTTCTGTGTTGTGTTCTAAAGACACTGTGGTATGTGAAAACCAGCCTCTAGACATACATAAAAAAGCACTTTCCCTCCATACCTTGTGTGTCTTATTCGTAGAAGCTAGAATCAGAACCAAAGGGAAAAAAGAACCTAGATTTCTCACCCTTCCATTTCGTTGTCTTCACTCAAAAATCCATTTAATTACAGAGGGAAGGAAGAGCCCAGTGTGGAGCTTTCCTTCTTGAAATGAGGTTAAAATACTGAATGAGCACTGAATCCTTATATTAATAAGCACTGTACAATTTACAAGTCTACTAATCTCCCAAGAACCCACATCTAAGTCCAACCTTGTAGTAAGCTTCTCTTGGAAGCAGGGTGGTAGCATGGACTCCTCCCTCTAGGATCTGACTTAGAGTAAATTGTTTCCAAAGGGCCACTGGGCTGTGTGATTTTCACACTTCAGTTTCAATTTCTCCATCATCTACAGCTAAAATCTTCATTAACAAACCAAGGGGCATAACTGACCAAAATACATGGGAACTGTTGACACAGGGGGATAGGCCACTCACTATGTTACTGCTTTTACATGGACGAATTGGGTGTGACAAGCATTTTGAAAATTATGACACTAGGACAAGTCTAAATGCTATTAACCAAGCTTTTTGAGGCAAATCCCTGGCCTCCTGATTAACTATCCATTTCCCATGCTATGAGTTTACAGGACAGCTAGCAAACCTCCTCTCTTAAAGAAGATGGAATATACATATTAGGGACACTTTTTTTTTTTTGGTTTTTCCAGACAGGGTTTCTCTGTATAGCTCTGGCTGTCCTGGAACTCACTTTGTAGACCAGGCTGGCCTCGAACTCAGAAATCTGCCTGCCTCTGCCTCCCAAGTGCTGGGATTAAAGGTGTGTGCCACCACCACCTGGCTACGGACACTTTTTTTAATGGTCAAAAGGATCAAGCAGAGCCAGGAGATGTTTGTTATGTTCTATGACTTTACCTGCTTGGTCCCTGGCTGGCTCCCAGTGCAAGTCACTATCTTTTTCTCTGATCCATCCACAAAGTCCATGGTCAAAATTGCAGCTGTGTATAAGAATACCTGCAAGGGGGTGGCCAGAGAGACAAGATGACAAACTCAACCAACAACAGTCGGTGATTCACAAACAATAGGTGTCTATTTAGCAGGAGTTTTCTCCTATCCAAACTTAGTATCCCAACAGAACACCTTGTCCTGAGCACGACAGGAAATGAACAGATGCTTGGCTGAGAAAACAGAACCAAGAGTGCTCCAGACACGTGACCCCGTTGGGTTGTCACTGTTAAAATAGGACTTCCGTCTCACAAGTCAAACAGTGCTTTAATGTGATTTTAAAAGAAAATGATGACTCATAATTATTTTTGCCTACGTGATCTAACCAACTGAGCTGTAGAATACAACAAAAGAGAGGATGGCCTAACTTCCCTAGGTGTGACTGGTCATCTACAGTGGTACTTCCTCAGACTAATGAAACGCATTTACTTTGCATCCTAGCCGGAAAAAAAAAAAACAATTTCAAGTTCTTTTCCTGGGATGGGGGTCAGGACTGGAACGTAGCAGTGTCTACCTGGGTCGTCCTTTACTTCCTCGTCTGCGCTGACTCCTCTTTCGATTTCAAATATTTCAAACAGGTCATTTGAAGGCTGCCGTGGAACTGCAAGAGAAAAGTCAATGTTTTTGTTTTTGGTGGTTTTTTAACGAGACCTTGCAATGATACCCCATCTTTAGCAAGAGCGAGGAGAAAGCCTATGCATCTCATTTCATTTTATACGAAGAGCGATACAATTTGCTGTGCAGGGATTTGTTCTCTAACATTTACCTGGATATAAAGACATCATTTTCAAAAGTTTTTAAAATTTTTCAGGAAGAATAAGTTAGTGGGCCAGGGTGATGGCTCGTTTGGTAAAGTACTTGCTATATATGTTTGAGTCCTGAATTTGGATCCCTAGCCCCCATATAAAATGCTGGGGCAGGGGGACCCACCTATAACTTCAGTGCTGTGGGGGCAGGGACAGGGGGAATCCCTGAAATTATTTGGCCACTCTGCCAAGCCAGACAGAGCTTCTGGTTTGGTGAGAGACTCTATCTCAAACAACAAGGGGGAAGACAGTTGCTAGCAGACCTTACTGCTAAAAAGCCACCCATTTGTTCTCATTGTTGGCATTGGTGTTGTTGTTGAGTTTTAACTCAAAGGTGCAGCTTTGCCTTCTTCCTTTTTTCAGATCTACCTCCATGTCACATGTAAAAGGCTTAGCTTTATCTTCTCTTCCCCAACGCTCTCCTCCCAGCCGCTGTGGAAACATACAGCTTGTCTGCCTTGTTGTTTCTCTCTCAGCCACTAATAAAATTGTCCTTGAGCTTCAAAATTAACTGAACAAATAAACAAAAGTGAAGTGGACAGTGACAAAAAGACACCCATGGTGACCTCTGGTTTCTACATACACACATATATACTCACATGTATGGGTACACATGAACACATACATAAACCACACACACAGACATGTTAGGGGAGTGTTCATGTGGAAAACATGCTATGAAACAACTTCTGATTTTTAGGAAAAATTGTAAAGGTCATCTCTGTGAAAGATGCATCAGTGAATAGTTTGCTGTTTTCTTGAAACGCCTACTTTTATCAAAGGAACTCTGCACATTAGTGTACACTGGTCCACACCTATTTCCACAACCTTCCTGATCTCAGCAGGTTCCTCAGTTCCTATATGATCAAATCCAGGAGGTTTCCTGGTGAGCATTAACCATCCACACAACAAAATACACAACCCTGTCCGAGCATGCAGTCCATTTCCACACCCCTGACACTGGTCCTCTTGTTTCTACTAATTAACCTGAACAAGCATCCCCTCTTCCTTTCAGGACCAGCAGAAATCTCAGAGAAAGCTCTGAAAAGTTTCCTACCCTTGGCAGAGTTAAGTTCTTCTCCACTGGTCACCAATAGTCCTATTTCCATATTTCTTTTGTAATATGCACTTGTAAGGAGTGTGTGTGTGTGTGTGTGTGTGTGTGTGTGGTTTACTTATGTGTGCATACACCCCCCACCCACCCACTGCATGTACATAGTCTATCTCTCTGTTAGTCTTTGAGGTCCTCAATGACATCAATCACATCTGACTCACATGGCATTTCCAGGGCTTGATCTGGTGATCACTGAGTGACTGCAAAGATCCTGTCAGAAACTCATGTTCTCTGTCAACACGCTTCATCAAATGTCACCAGTGGGTTAGAGCTTCAGAATGCATGTCAAGAGGCCTGATTCATTTAAACCCTTGTTTACGCGTTGACTTGATGTATATTTGACTTCTAACCCAACGGCAGGCCCCATGGTGGGCACTGAGACATCGAGGAAACTGAACAAGACCAACAAGGAGCCAGATCCTATGGAGCTTGATGTCTAATGACAGACACTGACATCAAACATGGAGATAAACGGACATTGAAAAGGGGCAGGGAAGAAAAAAGTTCCCCGAAGATGCATGAAGCTGAGTCAGAGAGCAGAGAAAGCTTGGGAAAGCTGTGGTCGGGAGGGGAATTCTTGACCAGAGGCCAAGGAGTCCTTACTCCCTTCTCTTGCCAGAAATTTAATTAACCCTTTATTTTTACAAGACAAGGAATAAAAGACATAGACTACCGTAAATTGGATGACATTCAAACAGGTTTTTCCTCTGTAGTTAGGTTACTGTTGTTAGCCAGGACTTCTAAAAACCGACACTCTTGTACTGTTAGCAACTGTATTTAGCTCACTCCAGCTATACTGCTCCCCTACTTTTGTTTCAAAAGTCAAAATGGGAGCACCTTCCTATTTCATAGCACACACACACACACACACACAAACACCCCACACACTGACAGGGATGACAGAATCTGAGCTGAGACAGAAGATGGATGTGGATAGACTGTTCATTGGTCCCTGGGGCTGCTGAATGACTGACAGCACTAACATCCAATGACAGCTTTCCTTTCCTCATTCTCAGCCTCTTAGAGAACATCTTCCTTATTACCTACAACATTGTAGGTAAATGTGCTTCGTTTCTCATGATGCTATAAAAAACATTAGGACACAACTGTGTGTTTGTTCTCTTCAGTAACAGAAATGACTCTGAAATGGAAAAGCTCAACCCCTGTGGTGTAGACTCTGAGGGCATCATGACAGTTCCCCCATCCCACCCTCAGAAAGGGCTGTCCAATGGCATTTGTTTGTCTCCTGTGTCCGGGTGCTCTGACACGTGAGGCTGTTTTATCAAGGAAGTTCAGGAGGTTTTTCCTGGACAGAATTTTGGAAACTGAAAGGGAAAGAGGCAGAGCTTTCCAGGCAAAAAGCACAAAGCCAGGGTGATGATGATGCTTTGGGCACGCAGTGGTAGAGAGCGTGCCATGGGACATGGATAAAGAGAAAGGGACAAGATGAAGCTTTTGCAAAAGAGCACTAGCAAAGCCTCAGACGGCTCGCTGAGACTTCAGACAATTCCAACCATTATTTAATAAACAGTGATGATCACAGATATGCATTCCAAAAGATTTACCTGCCTGATATGCCCAGCACTCTTCTACACTTACAGCGAGTGCTGTGTGCTCTACTCTGATCCCTGCCAGGTTATTGACTTTCTTCACCATATCAGTGTGGCTCACTAAGAACACCACATTGAAGTGTCAACAGAGGGTACAGTACCCAGCCTGACATATGTAATAGTGTGTGAAAGCATCATCTGAAATAAGCATGGAAACTTGAGTAGTGTCTCAACAACATATTAAAAATGTTTTTCTTAAAGACTAGGAAATAGGGTCGTAAGGAATATATTAATAATGTGGTAGTCTGATCGCTGAAAATTAAATGATCTTTATATTTGCTGATTTGTTTAGTCTTTTATGATTTTATATTTTGAGGCTGTTCAAAAGAAAAGGTTTCAGTATGAACAAACCCTAAACGATCTGAAAAAGGAGACGTTTGTTAAGACATTACTACACACCAGTTACAGATCCCATGTTTGTATGCATTTTGATCAAAGGGCTCTGAATAGTCTTGATGTCTGACATAAGCTAGGTTATAAAACTGGAATGTCTGTGAAATCCAAATACTTTCTTTCAAAAGAGCAATTTTAATGGATGTAGAAAATATTAATTAAAATACCTGAGAACAGACCAGCAGTGATTTGCACATGTTTTTCACTCCTCTTCCTTGCCTGATATGTTGGTTAGTACTCACTGTAGGTACACAATAAGCAGAAACATATCTGATACTTTCTTAGAACCAGAATGGTGTAGTCATAAAGATTAAAAAGAATAAAAGATGTTAGCAATCTTCCTGTCTATTCATTTTCTTTCCTTCAAAGTCCCCCAGTCACTGGGCTAAGCATGTGAATGGATTCTACGCCTACCTTCAGCCAACCTACATTCCTGAGGCGAAGATGGACATAATGGGGTTTTAATGGAAAAGCAGAAGATGGTGCTTACGTGTGGGCCTGGCACGTAAAGCCTGGTAAAGCTCACCCAGGAAGGGGAGATGCTGAAACTCTCTAAGAAGTAATGTTTGTATAAAGATCTGAAGGAAGAATTTCATGATCGAAGGCCCCAGAGAATAAAAGGGTGAACCCCCAGTCAGTTGAAGAGCTTGGGGGAGAGGCAGAGCACAGGAGGAAAAGCTCCAAATGAAACTGCAGCTATACAATGACTGTTTAAAGCCTTGTTGAAATGCTTGATTTTATCTTGGTAGAACTGGACACACTAAAGGGTTTTTATTTGTTTGTTTGTTTGTTTGTTTGTTTTGTTTTGTTTTGTTTTGTTTTACAGTGGTGGATGGGAAAGGTTTGCCTGGTAAAATTATCATTCTGCTGCAGCTTAGAGACTGGCAAGGAGGAAAGTGGAAGCAGAAAGCATTTATATCTAACCACATTTAATATAAAGAATGTTCATATGCTTAAAACATTCTCCAACATTTTTCTGACATTATTCAATATTGCACCAATAAACATTCTGGTGGTGTGGTGGTAGATGGCTTTAATCCCAACACTTGAGAGGCAGAAGTGAGCAGATCTGTACGAGTTCAAGGCCAATGTGGCCTATTTAGGGAGTTACAGGCCACCCTCACCCTATATAGTGAGGCCCAGTCTCAAAATGAATGGATGGATGGATGGATGGATGGATGGATGGATGGATGAATATAGATAGATAGATAGATAGATAGATAGATAGATAGATAGATAGATCTTTCTTGTTGTTTCTATATAAACAGACAGACAGACGTGTATAGAGGTAGATCAATCTTGCTTCTTGTTTGAGATAGATAGATGATAGATGATAGATAGATGATAGATAGATAGATAGATAGATAGATAGATAGATGATAGATAATAGATCAATATTGCTTATTGTTTCTAACAACCATCTGTATAACTAAAGAAACACCAGATATGGAGACTGTAGGATACAGACAGTACTAATCCCACTTGATAACAACTGTGGGATATAGAGGGCACTAAGCCCAAAGATGAAGACTACGGGATGTAAGTGTGATCGCAGTGGGCTAAGGACACAGGACGGTCTCATGATGGCTGCAGCATCCTAGTGCCCGTGGGGAAAGCAGCTGGGAAAAGAAGGAGTCCACACAAAAACTGCTGTCTTGGTAAATTCTATTATTCATAG